GGACCTCCGCCTGCTTCTCTGGCGACGCCGGGCAGGAGGCCGGGTTCGTGGCCGACGACGCGGACGCCGCCGTGCCAGCGCCCCGCTCGGGGCTCCTCCGCACCACGCGCCGCGGCGGCCGCCCTGCCCCCGACGGGCAGCGGCAGGGGGGGGGACTGACTCAGGGAGGGGGGGCATCGACTTGGAATCCTCCTCCTCCTCCTCCTCTTCCTCCTCCTCCTCCTCCTCCTCCTCCTCCTCCTCCTCCTCCTCCTCCCCCTCCTCCTCCTGGAGGGGCATTGGCTTGGAATCGGCGATACTTCCACGACGTATCGGCGCTACAGTCGGACTTGGTTGGACGGGACCCGCGAGGCGAGGCGTTCCCCCTGAGCACCCCTCCCCTTTCATCGTTGCCCCGGATCCTCCTGCCGCCGCTGCCGCTGCTGCCCGCCCTCCTGCTGCCTCGCCGTGCTGACTCGTCGTCGTGGTTCAGAAGAGGACAACCTGGACAGGCTCACGCTTTGAAAGCATGCCGACAAGAGGCTCTTGGCCGCTCTCGGCACCTGGCGGCCCTCGCTGGGCCCTGCAGACCGTCAAGTCGGCGACTCCGAAGGGTGCGGTTTGTAAAATATGTGGTTTGCAACTCGCACCCACCCGGGGGGGGGGGGCCTGGGGGGCGGTCGGAAACCTTGACAGAGTTCTCCGCCGCGCCTCGAAAAGGCCCGACGAGGGTCGTGCACGCCAGGCCCCAACGGTGCCGATCGCAAGCCACACCCCGGGGTATACCCTGTGTGGCCGCCGAATCAAGACACAAGATCGGGGACGCAGATCGGCCACAAGAACATGAGACGAATCAAAACGCAGCTCGCCCAGACGCCGTCCGTTCGGCGGCGCCGATTTTATCTCGCGAACTCCTCATCGCCATTTGCACGTCAAGAGAAAACTCTTTCGTCCTGCGTAAGTATGCTTGCGATTTGGTGCCCGCGATTTCTCCGAGGCATATCAAGCGAGACCCATACTGAATTCACGAATTCCTCCCAGACACTCTGCCCTACGTGCTCCCTCTTATAAACCTGCCTCACAATGGAGGGGCAGTGGATTCCAAAACGGAATGTACCATCTTGATGGCGCAGAATTTGCCGCGGGGCACCGCCTCGCCGGCGACGTTGCTCTCGACGACCGTGGTTGCGATGAGCCCGCGCGCGAAGGTAAGCAGCTCCGCGAATGACCGCGACGCGCGCGTGCTCTGCGTGGTTCAAATAATCATCGTTCGGCAACCCGACGGCCACCCCCGCGGCTTCGCCATGGCCGATAATCTCCGCCATGCCGGAGCGGTGGGAGATCTGGTACTTGCATTGGTCAAACAAGTGCTGCGTCGGACTCGCCACGGCACCGGGCGCGCCGGCGATGTGATACATTGCCCACGCCTTGGTCTCCGCGAGGAGGGGCTGACCGGCGCCTTCCACCACAATATTGTTTTGCGTCTTCATGTGTTGCCTGTTAGAGGCAACTCTCATATGCCCCATCGCGCCATTCCACCCGGCAGCAACAGCCGCAGGGACAGTC